TTTTTATGAACTACCTTATGCAAATTAGTACAGCCATCGGTACATTAGTATGTTACTAAGGTCTCTTTTCTTGCCTATTATTAAATCTGTCTCTAAATGTAATGCCAAAATATGTCTTGAATGCATGCGCTTCCCTTAATCTCAACTATATCCACTATTATCTCTTAATTGCAATTTTAAAATAACCTCATAATTGGACCTCACACACTCCTTCTTACATTTTGCAGAGTGAGTAATAGTGAGTGTTAAAAGCTAAATCAGATCATTATATCCCCCCATCTAAAATACTTAAAAGACTCCCTGTTGCCTTAAAAATAATAGTTCAGAAAACACCGTCATTAGCCTCCATGTTCTGATCCTTGTCTATGTCGACTTCCACTTTCGCCCTCCCTGTGTTCACTATGTTTCTACAGTAATGTCACAGCGAACACACAGCTGTATGAGCACAACACACGCTCTTGTTCCATAGGAAAGACACAAAATATTATAGCACATTAAAGTGTTAACCCTATTGCCATATGAAATATTAATCTACAGATAAGTTCCTGTGTACTATGTGACCAAATAAATAGTGATTACCAACCCCCAACAGGCATGCACACTCAAGTATACTCATGTATACACAGAAGTCCAAACTAATTTATCAAGCCTGTCAAAGCAAAATAAATTACCAGTTACCACTGCTCTATCAAACCCAACTGACAAGGCCAGATTAGAACAGAAAAACAGTGTGACTAAAACCAGCCATTGAAAATTGAATACGCTGACATTAAAACAATTATGTAAATTGGTGCTTGGAAATGGCTTATACAGATAGGCTCTACAGTATGATTGTCAGTAGCCAGATGCCAAGTTGACATTTTATTCTGCTACTATGGAGAAATGGGGCCAAGAGAATGTTAGCTGAACCACAATAGTTTTGCAAGAAATCATATAATGAAGAAAAATTCAAAGAAAATGAAGAAGTTTCCTCCCCTTCCTGAATGTGAGTGATTCCCTTGAGATTAAAAAGAAACATATTTTGGGGGGGTTACTAACTTTATAATATACACTGGGTTCTGATAATCTTGTTTAGGAAATATTTTTAATAACAGACTTCATAGAACTCCACTACCTGCACTGGCATGTCTTATTAGTAAAGCCACTTCGTAAGGCTTTTGATAAACTAAAAGACAATAAATTAATCACTTAACTAATTAATTAATTTGCAGAGTGTCCAAGGTGCTAACTCTGCTACTTGTAAATGTATCAAAAGGTAGTCTAAATATACCCCCAACTACCATTTTTGCTGTAGCCACGAAGTCAAACAAGTCATAGTTTTTACAATTGGTTTCCCTCCCACATATCACCTAATGAGACTGACTGGAACTGAACTGGCCCTTTCTTTCTTTATCAGCATTTCAGAGGATTATAATGATTATTATAAAATGTCATAAAATGATAACCATTTAGAATGTGGACTCTACTGCAAACTCAAAATATAACTTCCTGCCTGTTTATTATCACCATTACTGTATAATAACATTTTAACTTATTCAGCATTATTTGAAATATGTTCCAAATTTCATTTGTTTCACATGAGAAGTATGTATATTTAATGGAAAGAAGAAACGACAAAGAGAACAAAGAGAAAGCACTCCACCTAGCAACAGCAGGGTACATATTCTTAAATATGCATGAAACATTCCATTAAGGTAGACCACAGCATGTGGTATAAAATAAATACTACAGATTTTTAAAAATCAAAATCTTACAAAGTATATTCTCTTACCATAATACAATGGAGTTAGAAATTGACAGAAAAATAAGAAGGTGATCACTAAACACTCAGAAATTTAAAACCTATTTTAAGCAATCAATGTTTCAAAAAGAAGTTTAAGGGAAACTTTAAAATATTTTGAAATGAACAAAAATTTTGTTATATATTTCAAGCAATTCATAGAGTGAATTCATTCTAATCTGTCATTCATCACTTGTAAAAATAAAGAACAAAGGCCTCAAATCAATATTATAAGCCTTTACCTTATGAAACTGGAAAAAGAGGAGCAAAATAAAGAGCAAATTTCTTACTGTAACTGGAATTGTCTCTATTTCCTTGCTTTTTCTATAAACTTTTGCTTCATATATTTGGAAACTGTTATTAGGTGCATAAAATATTTGGTTTTACAGTCTTTTTGATGAATTGATCTCTTTATTATGAATTGAACTTCTATAGATGTGGAACCTTCAGTATTATAATTCTTTTGTCTACAAAGAAATCAAGTCTTGTTATTTTTTCCATTAAATGCAGCCTAGCAGTTTCCTTTTTTATTTGAAAGAAGGCAGAAGACTGAAATGGCTGTATTCACCAGTCTTGCTTGCCAAATGTTTCTGATGATGTTCCTTCTGGGTCATATAGGAGAGCACTCCCTGGGCCCATGTGTTGTGCGACTAATTCTGACCGATGCATTGCAAGCAGAAAGCATTATGCCATGTTAGTGAGAGACCATTTAATTGCCAGCCTGAGACCCACCAGCATCCTCATTTACCTATGGCAGAGTGTTTGACAGGTCAAAATCTTGGCTGTTTGCACTGACTATAGTGAACACAGATCCTCTGGCCAACCAGTGGTGAATAAGCAGAAAAATTTAAAAAGAATACTTGTTGTCTTGAGACATTGGGACTTGGCATTGGTTAGGAGTACAATGTAACATCCTGACTGATATACTTAATATAAGTAGATACAAAGAAACTCAGTAAAACAAAAAATAAAGCCATACGTTAGATAACTTAACAAAATGACCTAAGGATTAATATATGCAAATACTTTCATCCAAACATTTTACTCCAATCTTGCAGTCCAAGAGTTTCAATTTTTTAAATGTGATAACATTGTACTTAAAACTAAATTCAGCTTTACACAATGAGAAAGAATGTTTTAGTGATGGTAAGAATATGAAGGTCTTAAGAACCTCAAATGCAATTTTACCTAAACTCCCACAGATTAAATGTTGACATTGTACCATGAACAATAAAATATCTCACAAATAAGTCTCATACTTATTTTATACATCTGTAATTAAAATTTATTTTTGGCCTATTCCTATTGTTAAAAGAACCACTAATTTTTGTGCATGAAGCCAATGACATTTATCAAGATTAACTGTGAAAGGGATGACAGTTAAGAATGTTTAAAATAAATAATGCTGTTAAACTAAATATATTTTAAATCCCTCAGTTTAGTAAATGCCAATAGAGAATGTCAGAAAATGTATGCATTGTTTTGGGGAAACATAGAAGAGTATGAGAAATTTTCTATTCACTTTATTTTCATTATCGTGAATGGTTTAGAAGAATGTTTACTGACTAATTTGTGGGGGTTTTTTGTGAACTTTTAAATGTCTACATGATTTGTCATTTCTCTAAAGTAACTTTTTTTAAGAATGTAAACAATTGGTTTTGTCTCTCTTGTTCATTTAAAATTCAAAGCTTTTTTTATCTATTTAGATAAATTGTTGCTTAACTAAGATGTTTTCATCTCTGAACCATTTCCAAATTCTTTGTTAATTTTATGCAAATGTTCATTTTAAAATAATACAGCAATATGAAATGCAATATTTATAGGCATTTCCATTTATAATTCTATAAACTGAATGCAACAAATGTTTTGATGTGTCCCTATTTCTCTTTGTAATTTTGGTATGTATCTGTAACCATAAACATATAAATAGTGTTTTATTTTGTTTATTTATTCAACACAGTTCCATATTACTACATTGTCCTCATATTTAACAAATTTCTATTCTCAACCTGACTTGAAAATAATCCTAAAATACACAGTTTTCAGATTCTTAGTAAAGCCCTGGATGTGCTTCAGTATTTCTAGCAATGCTGAGCAGCAGTCATCTGGACCCACAGCCTCAGGATTCCAATGGCTGTGCTTGGGAGTGAGTTCAACATCCTGTGGAGCAGGTTAAGAGCTAGAACGCTGAGATATAATTCAATCAGGTTAAACACTGTCACAAAGATGTTGCTTTTCTTTAGAGTAAAAATCAGATCAGCACCCTCATTATTTTTTGCCAGAACTCGAAATCGCTGTTTTGCCTGTAGTCTCTGCTGTCTTCAACGCATCGTCTGCCCTGCTGCTGGGGGAACACATAAACATGGTCCAGTCTTCCTCATCACTGGCAATTCATGAAATACTTCACTGCAGGCTAACGTCCAAATTCCTTAGTATAGCTTTCAAGATCCTACGTGAGCTTCTTCTCAACATACAGACTCATCTATAAAGACGTCCCTAATTCTTTCAGATGAAGTTAGTCATACTTCCTTTGGGCTCTCTGTCCCATCCATTATGTCACTCGTCTCATTTAAGTCTAATCATTTTATGTATCTGTCCACTGGTCTGTGAATCCTTAAGGGAAGAAATCCTCGTTTGTTCATTATGGTGTCGTAAGTGTGTCTGACTTTTCCTCATGCAGTTCCTCTCTCTCCTAGTTCCCTACCTCCTTCCATAGACAACTTGACAGGTAAAATAATCACAAAATAACAACATAATCACAACAAAAATTATGATAGTATTTATCTAACCCTTGCTATTATCATGTGTAATGCTGTATTTTTGCATGGATTATCTACTTTAATTCTTGTTAACATTATGAAATGGGCAATTTTTTTTTGCCCCTACACTGCCCCATTTGAGAGACTACTCTTACAGAAGTTGAATAACTTACCCATTATAGTAAGATCGTAAGAACACATTTTAATACAATTCACACCTAATATTTGAGGATATTAAAAAGTATTAAATGATTATTTTTATTAAGAATTAGTTTGAAAAGGAATTACTAATGAAATCCATGAATAAGTAGAATAAATATTATGATGTACAAACTTTGGCTGAAGTATTGGACAGAGTTTAGTTTGCAAATCTGTCTGATAACATAATGTATAAATAGCGATATAACAAATACTATAGTTTTGTGTTTGACACAGCTCTTTTCTTCCTTTATCATCCCCAGTTGTAAGCACAAGATGTACCTGGAAAGACTGCCAAACACCAGCATCATTATCCCATTTCATAATGAAGGTTGGACTTCACTCCTGCGTACCATACACAGTATAATTAACCGAACTCCAGAGAGTCTGATAGCAGAAATCATTCTAGTAGATGACTTCAGTGATAGAGGTAAGATACAGTCAATAATATTTTATCTGATTCTGTTGTCACCTATATGAACATTACAGGCTTTAAAAGGCAGAAGATTATTGTGGTGCTTCTTTTTGATCCTATCTGAAAGATCATTATGAAGTTTTGTCTATGTTGTGATTTCATAAAATGTTGGCCAAATGCAAAGGAAGCTGAATGAGAAGTTATTGCTTCATTTGGGGAACTGTAAGAAATTTGCATTACATTCCCATTGTAAATGAGGCAGGTGTTGGCAAAATGACTCAAATTCTACTTTCAGCTTCAGTACAAACACTGCAAAATATGTTATTGTAAGTACACATGAGTAGTGAAATATTCTAGTAGAACTATAAAATGTACGTCTGTTTCTGAAAAGTATCTACTCTATTATTTACAAGTATGATCTGTTCTCTAGGCTGTGCTTATGTTACTTCATAAATACTAAAAATTATAGTGAAACACAAATATTTTTACATGGCAATTCCAGTTATCATAATTGAACAGTAACAAAAGAATCTGGTGTAACAGTATGTTAGAAAATTTGACATAAGTTTTAATAATTCAGCATTCTAATAAACAACTGGTTTTATAAGACAGGAGGATAAAATATAGAAAGTTTCTGATATTAGGACTTCATTAATTATATTTGGACTAAATGTGGGGATTATTGATACTTTAGGAAAAATAATTCTATCTTTCTTGGCTGGTGTGAATGGAAGGGAGGAAACCTTTTCTAATGATATTTATTTATTTTGGGGAGATAATTTTCTAACTTATATTTCATTTCCTGAAGGAGCTCTGCTTAACAGTGTTGTATATCTGTAAGAAATAATGGCAATGAAACAGTGTGATTGTATATTGTTCTTATGCCTCAGAAGAGGATACATCTTGAAGTAGTATGAGTTCACTGAAGTTTGGGAAATTTCATTTGCGGCAATAACGTCATTTTCTTCATAGTATTCAAAAATTCTGTAAAACTACCTAGTGTCTTAATTTTCAGGTTTCTTTGAGAGTTCTAGTCTTCAATGATTCATTTCAAATACTGATTCAGGATCTGCCTAATATTAATATATGTTGCTCTGGCTAGTATGGCTCAGGTGGTTAGAGTGTCGTCCCGTACACTGAAAGGTTGCTGGCTGGATTCTCGGTCAGCATACATACCTAAGTTGCAGGTTCAGGGCATGTACAAGAGGCACCTAATCAATGTTTCTCACATTGGTGTTTCTCTCGCTCTCTCTCTCTCTTTCCCCATCTACCTCCCTCTTCCCCTCTCAAAAAAAAATGGGTTGAAGTTTATATGGCAAAAATAAGGTTGTCTAACATTATTCCATTTAAGTACAAACTACCAACTCATCGCTTTAGATTGATTTCATAGCAGTTTTTGCCTTGCCTAACTTTGAAAGATGTGCATTCAATACTACTTAATCATATAAGCCAGTGTCTAAAATTGAAATTTATTATTTAAAATTTTATTTATATAACACATTGATATATTTTTATTCTTAATTGAGGCTATTTCAAAGTAATTATTATTACCACAGACTAAAAAGAGTCATTTAATGTGTTAGATCTTAAACGTTTTTTTTATATATAAAAGAATGAACAAAGAAATAGAGATTTCAGACTGTACATCACCACATTAATGGTCTTTTTGGTTGGCTGGTACTAAGAGAATTCAGACAGTGTATCTGTCTGAATTTTCTACATAATTAACTTTGCTTTGGTAAACTGTTACAGCAGAATTTTGACCTGGCAGTAATATAGTAGGAAATATATAGGAGCAGACAATTTTGGTTTGTAGAACATTTTTTGCTGAATATTTCTCAGAGGTATTTTTTATTGAAAGTCTATAAAGAGGGAGAAAACAGTGGCATATACGTCTGTGTTGACTTCATTCAAATCACTGTCATCTTTGGTACAGTAGTAACTGATCCCCGACTCTTCTGTATGTGGTGTTACCTGGGCAGTGAGTTCCAGAAGACTGTCCCTGTAATTGATGTTGGTAAGGCAGGACAACAGAAAAGGGATTATTTGGAATAGTTACGGTGATTTTGAATTCCTATTGGATATTTTTATCCAATAATAGTTATTTTGATGCTTTGGTAAGCCTTAGATATTCAATTCCTATGAACTTTCAAGTTAAAAGTATTACTTTATGATCATTAAATTTTTAAAGGTTAAATCTTTTTGAATACTGCATTTCATTAAGTTAATGTACCAATATTTGTAAAAGTAAACTTTGAAAGAAATATTTGATAAAAGTGCTTCTATTATCTTTTAGAATACATTGTAATTTTAAAGTTGCATGGACTAGGAAAGAGTCTCCTTTCAAACTTGTATCCAAGAGGTTTTATAATTAGGATTTAGGTGGACATAAGAGATATCATTCCTGCTTTGTGAAAAATGGGGAATATAAAAAATTAATATAATCTCAGGTTAGAATCTCATCACCAACTATTAACTGTATGACATTGGATAAGTTAAATAACTTTCCTATATCTCAGACATTTTTTTATCAATATGAGAATAAGTAACCCCTTAGTTATTTAAGTAACTCCCCTTAGAGAGGTTTTGATGGAGAGCTACCTCGGATGGTTGGGTGAATAGTGCACTACACAGGGGAGTAGTTGCCCTCAGTTACAAATTTATACTCATCAAACACTCCCCTACTATTATAACATAGACAATTGCCAGACTGAGGAGATGCTCTCAATTTAATCAATGTAGTCCCCAAGAATTTATCTATCTGTCTATCTATCTATCTATTCATCAATCCACCTATCTACCTGTTATCTCCAGATGCAACAGAAGTCAGGGGGGCATGTGAAGACAAATTGTGGTAATTCATAACTGTTGGAAAAATGAGAACTGCATTAACAGTTTGAAAATCTCTGACTTTACTAATAAGTGGGTAATTTACTGCATGTATTAATGAAAAATTAAATTCTAGACTTTCAGCAAAATGATGATAAATAAAGTGTGTTACATAAAATTTTATGAGTGGTCTTACAAGAGTGTTTATTCCTTTCAAGATTATTTTCACCATTATAAGAGAAGGGAGCTATTCTAAGGCATCTCTTGTTTACAGGGCCTCTAAGGAGAGGAGTTTTTTCTGTTTCATTTAACTTTTTGGTTATCTATAGCCATGCTGTTAAAAATTATTATAGCATATGCTATAAACTATACTTTTCAACACCCCAGAAATCATAATCCTGTAATATATAAAGTCTCTCACTAATTCTTTAAAAATAAAATTAAATGGGCTAGACAAATTTTAAAATGAAAAAATACAGAGGGATTTTTTGTTCCCTTTAGGAAATTATTTATGCAGTATTATACTTTATATTTATTTTTTAGAAATATATTCCAATTCCAAGTCTGTTCAGTATGCACTATAGCTCTCCTGGATATTCTACAATGTCCTTTGGCCAAGGGCAATAAATTTTGACAAGACTTAATCAAATATCACTGCCTTATAGTTTATGCACTCTAGGTCAATAGAATAGCTATACATAAAGAAAGAAAAAAAGAAAGAAGAACAACTCAACACAATAGCCATGTTCATAACACAAGGTTAATACCACTTGGAATTCGGAGTTCCAAAAATGTAAGCAATGCCATGATTGGAAAATTCTGGAGTAGGCAGTTTCATAGCAATAGAGAAAGAAAATACTACAATAATTTCATAATTATTGAATAATTATGAAATTGGAAAGTGACTTTTGAAAATCCACTTGAGTAGGTTCCACCCAATTATCAAAATGCTTTAGGGAAAAAGAAGTGAGTATCTCATTGAGCAGTTCTCAGTTTAGATATTCTTTCTTGAGCACACTTGGTGAACCAGATGTTGTTTCAGCCTCAGAACATAAGCCCACTGTGTATAAATACATGAAGATGCATGCCTGCAGGTGAGTTTTCAACAACAGCACTGTGTTTTCGCTATCTGAAGCCTACCAAAGTTAGTGAATGTGATTATTTTTTTTAGTGAGCTCTCAGAAATACATTTAACAACTGCACTTGAAGCCTATAACAAGGCTTCATGATGACTTTAAAGCAGGACTAATCCTGGGCTTATCTCCAAATTCCAGGCAACCTTAACAGCATCCACATGGAAAATGTTGAAATGTGTGAAATAAGCTGGGACTTAACCTCAGACATAGGATATATTTGAACTTGACAATTCTCTAAACTCTGCATGCTTAGATGAATGTGAGTTCAAATTAAGGATAGCCACAGAAGAGTTGCTGACACAATTCCCTAAAGGCGAGTGTGGAAATACTACTGCACACAGGGTATACACACACACACACACACACACCCACTAGTTCACTCAGTCTACTGTCCCTGCTTGTTTCAAACTTCCTAGGCCGGAAAGGTAGGCAGCTGAGTATTTAAGTTTAACAAAGACCGATGAATGTCTAGGTACTAGGTAGAGGGAAAATCAGAGACTTGAAACTATCCTCCCAAGTTAACAAAGCCAACAATTTCAAACCATCCAGTTTACTTTTCTGCAGGTGGCATTGTTCACTGCCGCCCATGGTCTTGTCCACAGACCTACGGTGCCAGCATCACACTGCAGCTTATTAAAAGGGCAGAATCTCAATCCCTATCCAGATGTATCAGAATCTGCATTTTAATAGGATTTATATGAAATGTTTATGCAAATCAAAGTTTCAGAATAACTGTCATATGTTTTAAAATTGGGTTTATGCTTCAATGAGTCATATAAGTACCTAAACATCATAACTTCAAAACACGGTTTTTTACATATTATTATGAAATAAATATTTCTATTTTTTTTATTGTTTAGGGTAAAATTGATATTATATTTATAAATGTGTAAAGGAAGGTTGAGATAGAATTCCTATAGCATTATCCACATTATGTTATGTATTATTTTCCACTTATTATTACATTTCTTTGATAAAATTTGTCATCCTCACTGATTTGTAGACATTTGCTCTGATTTCTTAGGAACTCATTTTATAGCATTTTATGTT